TGCCAGTCAACACTTGCCAGGCTGCTCCCAGGTGGCAGAAGGGCACAGCCTGAGACATTGTGAGGGGGTACAACCTGAGCCGCAGCGGCCTTCTGCGTTGCCGGGTCTTAAATATGAAATGATCATATTGAAAGCTCTCAATGATTGTATTTGCTGAAAAACTATTGTAACCTTAAAAATATGTGAATACGTATGCAAATAAGTCATCTTATTTACTTTATATTGCTCACTGTGTAGAGCCAGAGAGTGAGTAAGAACTGGGTCATCAAAGCTGAAGCCTTTCTTTCTTTCCAGGTAAGCAGTCATAAGAAAGTGCTGACTGCAAATGGCAGGGGAAACACCATGATCATTACGGCAGTTTTCCTAGTTACTAGGGATAGCTGCTTTTCTGGCAAGGGGTTGGGCAGAGGTAATGTATAGTTAACCTTCCACTTTCATTTCCAGTGGGAAGGTCTGGGCTTTACGCCCACTTCTTGGAAATGGGAGACTTCTTCCTAGGTTGCTCCTGCAGTTGTATGGCTGAGGGCAAGCAAAACTTGGGGGCATCCAAACCCCAAGTCTCTGGGCTTGGATCTGCATGTAGGATACCTGCCAAATGATTTGGAAGCACCTGAAGCCCCAGGTGGGGCTGGAGGATGTTTGCCAATAGTAGGGCCAGGTATGTTCTTGAATGACTCATGGATTTAGAATTGATTTGGCTGATCTGGAACATGAAAAATTTAAAAAAAAATAATCCAGAAGTCAGGCTAAGATCAAATGAGCCAGCTGAATCCCAAGACCTCCAGGTCTGGGCCTGCACATAGGCTGCCCGCCAATGGATTTGGTAGTATCTGAATTCCCTGGGGTGAGAGCCTCAGACAGATGTGCGCCGGTGGTAGTGCCATACATGGTGCGTAGAACGATTGAGTTCTGCCTGCTCCATCAATATGATTTGGAACTGATTTGACCTGGAAGACAAAATAGATTAATTAAAAAAAATAAACCCAGAAGCCAGTTAAGATTCCCTGAGACTGACTTGGGTTTTGCAATTTGCTGCCTTAATGAGCTGCCTCAAAAAATAACTGCATTTTGAAGGGGTGTAGGTTGTAGCTGTGTTAAGGACATAGACAGCCAAGGTTCTTTGGGTAAATCTGATACCTTTTATTAGACCAACTTAAATAATTGGAAAAAGTCTTCTTAGTAAACTTTTGGGTATAAATACCCTTCATGAGGCTGAGGAAGCAGCTGCAGTTGGTGTGTGCTCTTCCTGAATGGAAGGAATAGTAAAGCCAGAGGCTGAGCTGCATGCAAGAAAGCCAGTCAGCGAAAATGTAAATTGGGGGGTCTGTGGGTGAGAGACAGGCTGGACCATGGGGGGAAGGGGAATGAATGTAGCTCCTAAATAGTGAAGAGGTACCTGGGGAGTCAGATGGCAGGCAGGTTATAATGTGTCATAAATCCAACGTCTGTATTTAGTCCAGACAAAGTTTGTTGCGTGAATCTGATATCTTTTTTTAGACCAACTTAAATAGTTGGGAAAAAAATGTGCTTAGCAAGTTTTGGGGTTTAAAAACCCTTTGGCAGGCTGAGGAAGGGGTTTTAAGCACAAAAGCTTGCTAAGAAAATTTCTTTCAACCATGTGACTGGTGCTTCCTGGGTCGGGGGGTACTTTCCCCCACCCCTCAGCGGACAGTCAGTGGCTGGGGGCGGGGGCAGGCGAGGGGGCCCGTGGCCGGTCCTGCCGACCGCAGCTGGCCACTGGCGCTTCCAGGTCGGCGGGGTGGGCTGTGGGGGCCCGCTTCTCCCGGCGCTCTCAGGGGTGCGGCCCCCTCGCACCTCCTACACCTCGCCACTGCTTCCCACTATTTCAGTCGATCCGATATCAGATTATTCACCCAAAGTACCTTGCCTGCCTAAGCCCTTACACCAACCCGGCTACAACCTACACCCCTGTATTTAGTCTATGATTTATGTATTTCTTTTTTTGGCGCGCTTCCACTCGGGCTGGTGGTACAAGGGGGAACACACGAGAAGTCTCCCGCGGGAGGGCGGCCTTGAAGCGACGAGCGAGCCTGCAGCGGCAGGAGCGCGGCTCCTCCCCCGGCCGGCCCCTCCCAGCGCACGCCCCTGCACACGCACATGCACACTCGGCCGGCGCCGCCGCAGCCCGAGCCCCGCGCGCAGACAGGCTCCAGCTGCAGTGGCACTCCGCAGCGGCCGCCTCCACCAGGCATGGCACGGGGCTCCCCCGCACTATGGCAGCAGCAGCAGCAGCGCGACACAGCACCCTGGACTTCCTGCTCGGCGCCACAGGTACCGCGGCCCGCGGGGCGACCCCGGCCCTGGCCCCGCTCCCGCCCCGGGCCTCTCTCATAATGCAAAGGCTGGGCCCGGCTGCGAGCGCGGAGGCGCGGGCGCTGCTGCTGCGGGCCTGAGGCGGCCCTCGGGCTGCGCCGGGCCGGGCCGGGCCGGGGGGTGGAAGGAAGCACGAGGCAGGGGCCGCGTTTCGCTGCGCTGGGCTGGAAATGGTGCCCCCTCCCCCTGCGCCGCTTGCACTCGCTAATGGTGGCCGGAACGGCGAGGGGAGGGAAATGCCGCAGGGTTTTGTTTTCCCCTGTGTGCGCGACACATGCGGCGTGCACACGTGTCTCCTTTGCGCGCGCGCGCCTCCGTGTACGTTTGCGGTGTGTGGATACATCGAGGTTTAGATGTATGTGGATCTGTCTAGATCGGTCTGGACACACGCACGTAGACGTACCTGCGTAGGAGCGTCGGTCTCAATTTGCGTCTAGGCGCATCTCGATTGACCTAGACACAGCTATATATCCCATTGTTGGCTCCCTTTGTACTCTTCCTCGCTAAGGAAGGTAAAATAATAGGTCTGGACATGCCTAGATAGACTCTCTCTCTCTCTCTAGATATATATCCCTAGATCTACCTAGAAAGCAAGACTTAATACATCTCGAGATACAGTAAAAAGCATGTTATCCAGCACTTTACAAGCTGGCATGCTGGCTTGTAAGGTAAAAACAAAACTGCAAGTGCCTGATGTGGCACTTCTGGTTTTGCTGAGCCCCCACAATAACAATTCTTTCCCCTTTTTCTCTTCTGCCACCCTCCCTGTCCCTCACAGCAGGAGTGGTGGCGGCACACTGGACGTGGTGGGAGAGGCAGCCTCTCAGATAACTGGCATATTTTGTTATCCAGCACCCCCAATTCCCCATGGGTGCCGGATAACAAAGCTTTTGCTGTATATCTCTGATCTAGATTCATCTAGACACACATACGTGGATGTAGCTATCTAGATTGATCCAGGTACATCTAGATCTAGATATCCCATTGTCAACTCCCTTTGTGCAGTTCTTCGCTGAAGAAGGCAAAATATAGATATATACACACACCAGCACATATTTTATTATCAAGATAATAAAATATGTGCTGGTGTGTGTATATATCTATATTTTGCCTTCTGTAGCGAGGAACAGTATGAAGGGACCTGACATCGGGACCTACCTGCATGGTTTCAACCTTAGGCTTTGGAGTGAAGTCACAGTTTGCATAGTTTTTATTTTAAACCATCTGTTTTTGACAGCAGGGCCCTCGCTGAGACTTTTGGAGGAGATATGTAACTGAGAAGGGACTGCCTAACCTATACGTATACCAAATGCTGCAGCAACATGGTGGAGTGGCTGCTTTATGACAGTGATTCTCTTCTCTGCTGGGGTGCCATTAGATTCTTTTCTAAGGTGCTGGGCAGTATTGTTACTCCATGTGCAAACATCTGCATGTGACTGGCAAGACCCCAGAGATATCAAATAGGAATCCATAGTATCAAACATGTTCAGACCTGTATAGGTCTTCCCAGGTTCTTTGCAACCAAAGAATCGCTGTATTCTTTTTCTGTAGTAAAAAGAGTGAAGACTGGGATTCAGGATTTTCATTCATAGTCGTCTCTGGAGTCTTTTGAGGTGAAAAAGCTTGAGAACCCTTGCTCTTAAGACTTTACTTGAGCAGGCATTTAGCAAGCAAGTCTAAGATGGGATATCATGTAGGGAGGTTTTTTAATATCCTCTTCTAATATTCTACCTGGTTTATAAGTTATTTTGTATCTTGTTGTAAGCCACCAAGAGCCCTTTTTGGGAAGGGTGGCATATTCATCGAATAAATGAGAGACCTGACTTCATGGCTCAGCCACTGCCAGCTGACCTTGAGTAAGTCATTTCACTTCATTGAGCCTCAGGTTTCCCTAGCTGTAATACAGGGTTAAACATATTCAGACCTATGAACACTGACATCTGTTTGAAGACTGTTGCTGAAAGGTCTGAGGATTACATTGTTTGTTTTTTACTTGAAAGCAGGATCCTAACTTGTACCTTTACCTAAAGTTAGCCACTTATTTTAAATAAGTGTTTAATGTTAACTTTTTCTGTGCATCAGTGCATAAGCTAGATGTATACATAACTAGTATCTTGTAATTTTATAAGCTTATTCAGAATTTCTCATCAGACAATGCAGCTGATCAGACAGAAAATAAGTAATTGGCAACTAAAGTGAGCTGGTGATCTGATTTGACTGTACTTAAGTTCCTTGGATTAGTTAGCTGTCACTGGACATGTTCAAGCCAAAGGTCAGCAAAAATATGATCTTTATTTGGCCAGCAGGATGTCTGAAAAAGATGGTAGGTAGATAAGGAGGTGAATTCTCAATTACTTGAATTCTCAGTTACTTGAATTACTTCGAATTTGAGCTCCACAATTCAAAAAGGATGTGGAGGAGCTTGAGGGAGTGCAGAGGAGAGCCACGCGCATGATCAGAGGTCAGGAAAACAGACCTTATCACAAGAGGCTGAGAGCTATGGGACTCTTCTGCCTGGAAAATCGCAGGCTCAGGGGTGATCTGGTAGCTACCTACATGTTTGTCGGGGTGACCACGAGGATCTGGGGGAACGTCTGTTCACCAGAGCGCCCCAAGGGATGACAAGATTGAACAGTCACAAACTCCACCGCGACCAATTCAGGCTGGACATACAAAAGAACTTCTTTACTGTCTGAGCCCCCAAGGTTTGGAATAGATTGCCACCAGAGGCGGTTGAAGCACCCACTTTGAACGCCCTCAAGACACATTTGGATGTCTATCTTGCTGGGCTCCTATGATCCTTGCTGACTTCCTGCCCCTGCAGTAGGGGTCTGGACTCGATGATCCTTCAGGGTCCCTTCCAGCCTGAATGTCTATGAAATCTATGAAACTTGGTGAGCTATTATGTATTCTTACAGTAACATTTCTTCAGGAGTGTCTACATGGGGAAACTTACAGCAAAATTGCACAGGCTATGAATTTTCCTACCTGCTTCATTCTCATGCCCTATGTGGACATCTGAAGCTTTTAGTAAGTGGAGTTAGCATGCATTAAAAACCAGGCAAGTGTGCACTAATGCATGTTTGTGGTGTAATTCACACCCTTTGCCTGGGTGTAGATAAGCTTTTAATATCATACTTTCGAAATGAAACATACTGTGTCTTTTGTCCCTTCGGGGTGGGGTCAGGCATTTCCCTGAATTGCGTCTTTTGGTAGATCTGGTTCAGCAATACCATAGATTCTAGAAGTTTCATTGCAATTCACATGTTTATATCTTTACAGAATTAGGCTTTTTAGTCAGCCAGCAAGAACCATGAAAACATTATCAAATAGAAATTACTTCTCTAAAGCCTGTGTTTTCTTGAAAATACTTTCTTTGCCTTCCCATCCCCTTGATTAAGTGGGGCAGTGTTGTCACATTACTTGTATCTGCATGTTCTTTTACAGTCCTGTTTGTTTTGTTTTGTTTTGTTTTTTGGCTTTTCCATGTCTTTCTAAAAACAGCTCTTCTATATCTGGGTAGGGTGTATATAAAGGGCACTCCCTAGAAAAGGGAAAGCTGACAAATGGCAGAAGTGTTGTCAAGTAAATAAAGTTGAGGGAAAATCAGATTTTTCTCTTGGATTAGATGTGTTGCCTGTCACAACAGCAGGTGAATAAGTTTGATAGAAGTGTGTGTGTTTGTTTGTTTGTTTGTTTGTTTATTTTCTCCCCGAGTTGAAATCCTCTAACTCAAACTGGATTTTTCACTTGCAGTTTTCTCTCTAATTTGGTTATGTTGCAGACCAGAGCATGTTATTTCTGTAATGTTTACACGCACAAGATCAGTAAAGATAAGCTCTTTTTGACTTCATAGCTTATAAGGGTCAGACTCTGGTGTCTGTCAAAGTCTGTCTTCTAGAAGTTTCATTGCGATTCACATGCTTATGCCTTTACAGAATTAGGCTTTTTAGTCAGCCAGCAAAAAGCAAGAAAATATTATCAAACAGAAAGTACTTTTCAGTAGAAGTGCACTGATATATTTGCTGTATATCGGATCAGCACCGATAAAAGGAAAATCAACTTTATCAGCAATTTGCTTTTTTTGGTTGGTGTAGCCGATTAACGTCACTGACAAATGTTGCATGCATGCATGCACATGGCCAGGAGCGCAACTCGGAAGCTTGGAGAGCAGCGTCAGGCTGGTAAGTCGGCGTTGGGGGGTGAAGAGGTCGGGGGGGGAGATTGAGGCCCCCACAGTTAGGGAGGAGTGGGGGCAAGGGGCACACAGTGCCCAGCCACAGCAGTGAAGGTGACTCTGGGGGGTGGAGAGGGGGCGTAGGAAGGGTGGGCAGCTCCTCACTGCTGCGTGCGCCCCCTGGGGAGAGGGCATGTGCCCCAGATTCACAGACATTTAGGGCTGGAAGGGACCTCATGAAATCATTGGGTCCAGTCTCCCTGCTAGGCGTGTCAGATAACCCCAGCAAGATGTGCATCCAGTCTCCTTTGACGATCTCCATGGTAGGTGCCTGCACCAACCCTGCTGGGAGTCTGTTCCAGAGTCTGGAGTCTATTTGTGTGTGGGGCAAGGGCAGGCTGCCTGCTGTGGGCTTGGAGCCAGAGACTTTGCTAGCCTCTTCTCAGGGGGCAGCTGGGCCAGCGCTTCAGGCAGGGGCAGGGTGGGTGGTGGTGGCACTTGGTGGGGTGGGGGGGAGGCTCCAGGGCGGGCTATAGTGTGTGGGGGACAGATCAAGGTGAGGTGAGGGAGGACGCAGGCTATAGCCATCCCACCCTGTAGCCCAGTGCTGCAGCTGCCCAGAACTCCTGCCTCCCCCTCCAAGTGCAGCTCTGGCCTAGCCCCCCTGCCAGGAAGAGGCTGGTGTAACCCCTGGCCCAGAGCCTGCAGTGGGCAGCCTGTCCTAACCCTGTGCA